CACCCATCCACCCACACACACACACACACACACACACACACACACGCACGCACACCCACACACCCACCCACACCCGCACACACACACACTTGCACACACACACACACACACACACACACACACACACACACACACACACACACACACACGCACACACACACACACGCAGCCTAATTCTTTGCCCTGCTTTAGAGCATGGGCTGTTTGGATGTTTACGGGTGGCCACGAGTTCTCTTTGGGGGGGAATGTATGTTTTGTGGGCCAGCGAGGAAGGCTTTCCCAGTTTCTTCGGACTCTTAGCAGGGGGGGTGCGTTCTTGCTGGAGGAGTCTCCTGTCTTACGTAAGTTGTCTCTTATTTTCTTCCTCCTCTTTGGCAGTGATGCGAGTGGGTAGTTTGAGATGAACGCCGGGAATGCCAATGCTGTTATATTTGTTTGTTTTTGATAAATGAGTTCTTGGTTTTGTGGACCGATGCGGAAGGCTCTCCAAGTTTTTTCGGACCTTTGAGGGGTTTGGTTCGGTGCCTTCTTGCTGGAGTAGTCTTCTGTCTTAGGTAAGTTGCCTTCTGCCCTCCATCTCCTATGGTTTGAAAGATATATGTATGCAGATGTATATATGCAAGTGTGCCGCTTTGGCGGCAGACGGGTGTGTGGGCAGTTGGCGCTGAACCACACAAACGTGGCCAACCTTGCATTTTCTATTATATTGCCCATCTATATTTTTTCGTTGGGGATGGCTTGTGATGATCTGTGAAGGGAATGAGAGAGAGAATCTGGGGTCCTTTGAAACAACACACATATTGCAAACTCTGGGTGACGTGGCGAGTCCTTATCCATCAGTCTGGCAGACTGTCGGGGTTCAACCTCCTGATGAGCTGGTGAAAGTCTGAAGACAAAACAGTCTGGCCCAGTCATGCTTTTCTTTGTGGCATTATGTGTAGCGAATATGACTACGCATACACACAACCCCACTGACATCCCAACTGAGCTAACATTTTGACTGCATCAGGACCATAACCAGCTCCAGATACGTTGCGAATGTTGCGTCGAAGTGCGAGGCACATTACCTCTGATGATATGACAATTCTAGATTGACAGAGCCACGCCTTTGTGTTCGTTTGTGTGTTTGCTCGTTGCCGGCGAGCCTCTGGTATAGTCATTTTCACGAAGCCAGTGATTTCGGTAATCAACTATAAACGGTCGTCTAGTCGATTTTCGGAAAAAAAAAAAAAAAAAAAACTCGATATAGACTGAACTTGAAGAAGATGGCTATCAATGGTAGAAGGTGCAAATCTTAGTTGGAGAGGGGTGTGCAACGGTCACATTTTTGCTTTGAATGTTTGTAATGATAGGTATGCGGCGGTGTCCGGCCGACACCATACTTATCCTATATCAAGTCTGTGCTGCTACAGTGTTATTAAGTTCCTTCCTAGGATGAACCAGTTAGACCCTAGGTTACCAGCCGGACCCTATTTTCCCGGGCGGCCCGGCCGTGCAACGGCCAGAGAAGATCCCAGAAACTCTCTCTCTCTCTCTCTCTCTCTCTCTCTCTCTCTCTCTCTCTCTCTCGCCCTCTCTCTCTCTCCCTCTCTCTCTCTCTACGATATATAACATTTCCTCATTGTACACATCCCTATCACCCAGATATACGTTGTCGCTATTGTGCCCAAGGACGCTATCAGAACTGTATGATGCCGCACTGTGATGAACGTCCTGCTGTGTTTTTGACATGTGGACAACACGTCCTCTGTCAGGACTGTTTTGATGGGATGGTTCGTGCTAGCCGTCCTGCAGAATGCTGTGCTGGCGCAGCTCTCCTTGGGCATCCTTGTGAACATCCACATCATCCTCACTG